TGGCCAGAATTTTATTGAGGATTTTTGTATCTATGTTCATCAGGGATATTGGTCTGTAATTCTCTTTCAATGCTGCATCTTTTTCCGGCTTAGGAATTAAGGTGATGCTAGCTTCATAAAAAGAATTTGGGAGGATTCCCTCTTTTTCAATTGTTCTGAATAGTTTGAGAATTGGAGTTAGTTCTTCTTTAAATGTCTGGTAGAATTCAGCAGTGAATCCATCTGGTCCTGGGCTTTTTTTTTGTTTGGAGGGCCTTTATTACTGTTTAAATTTCTGTCTCAGTTATGGGTCTGTTTAGGTTTTCTGTGTCTTTCTGGTTCACTTTAGGTAGGTTGCATGTGTCCAGGAATCTATCCATTTCTGATAGGTTTCCCTGTTTGCTGGCATACAAGTCCTTGTAGTAATTTCCGATGATTCTTTTTATTTCTGCAGTGTCTGTTGTTATGTTTCCTTTTTCATCTCTGATTTTATTGATTTGGGTCTTTTCTCTTCTTTTTTTTAGTTAGTTGGGACAATGGGGTGTCAATTTTGTTTATTTTTTCAAAAAACCAGCTGCTCGTTTGGCTGATTACCCATCTATTTGCTGCTTACAAGAAACACATCTTTCCAACAAAGATGCATACAGACTGAAAGTGAAAGGCTGGAAAAAGATACACCATGCCAACAGAAATGAAAAAAGAGTGGGCGTAGCCATCTTAATATCGGGCAACATAAACTTTAACACAAAAACTGTTAAGAGAGACAAAGAGGGGCACTATATAATGATTAAGGGATCGATTCAACAGGAAGATATAATGATTATCAATGTATATGCACCTAATTACAGGGCACCGGCTTATTTAAAAGATTTGTTAAGGGACTTAAAGGGAGACTTAGACTCCAATACAATAGTACTGGGGGACTTCAATACTCCACTCTCAGAAATAGACAGATCAATAGGACAGAAGATCAACAAGGAGACAGTAGATTTAAATGACACTATAGCCCACATGGTTCTAACAGATATCTACAGAACTTTTCATTCTACACATAAAGCATTTACATTCTTCTCAGCAGTACATGGAACGTACTCTAGGATTGACCATGTACTAGGCCATAAAGGAAGTCTCGGCAAATTCAAAAGAATTAGAATCATACCATGCAGCTTCTCAGACCATAAAGGAATGAAGTTGGAAATTAGCAACTCAGGAATCCCTAGAGAATATGCAAACACATGAAGATTGAACAACATGCTCCTGAATGAACACTGGGTCATAGAAGAAATCAAAAGAGAAATCAAAAACTTTCTGGAAGTAAATGAGGATAACAGCACAACATACCAAAACTTATGGGATACAGCAAAAGCAGTGTTAAGAGGAAAGTTTATATCAATAGGTGCCTACATCAAGAAATTGGAAAGGCACCAAATAAATGAGCTTTCAATTCATCTCAAGGATCTAGAAAATCTGAATATGAATCTTGATGTGAATGGAATGGGAGAGGGAGCAGGAGATGGGAGGGTTGCAGGTGGGAGGGAAGTTAAGGGGGGGGAGCCACTGTAATCTGAAAGCTGTACTTTGGAAATTTATGTTTATTAAATAAAAATTTAAAAAAAGTTAAATGGCACTCATTGAAAGTGCAGTGTAAAGTTTTCTTAGCCCATTCTGGCCTTGCTGGTTAATCCAAAAACCAATTTCACTCAGTTATTAGGGATCCAAACAGGAGTATGTGGGACTGTTCCCCACCAAAGTGAGATAAAAGAAAGGAAGGATGCATCCATTATGATGAGCAAGAGTGAGGAAGCAAGCAAGAGGGGAGAGAGAGGATAAAAAGGAGAGAGAGAGAGAGAGAGAGAGAGAGAGAGAGATCCTCAAGCTGGGAAGATGATGAAAGATACTGGGATAGTCTAGTCAGTGTGATGGCAGGAAGTAAGGCACCAACGAGCACTGGGCTTAAAGGCAGATGGGTGTTACTTGATGGGTAACCCATGAGGAGTCTGAGATGTTTGGCTGACTGACACAGAGAGCAATAAGACAATGACAATATGAAGACAGGTGGTGATGGAGCTCCTGGTAATGGGACACTTGGAGGGCATTGGATGATGGAGGGAACAGGTGATGGCCAAATGGGACAGAACAATAATCAGACTTAAACTAGTGAGACAAAGTCATGTGACCTCTTTTACCCAGTGGCACACATACAAAAATATTTACATGGCCCAACAGGGTAGAGGGACAGGCTAGTTGGGGGAAGAGATGAATGGGTTGGGGGTTCTAGCAGCCCAGGGCCCTACCTGACTGTTCAGAGAATTGTGGCAGTAAAATGAGTGCATAAATCAGAAGGTGTTCATTGTTTGGGAAGCTCTGCAGTATATTCTTCCAAATAAGAAGAAGTTCAGAGGAGACAATTCAGGGTTGCTGTAGTAACTCAGAAATGCCACTGATAGTCTCACCGTATGTTTTTAATCTATCACTCATGATTTTTACCTATTATCTTCATGACGGGAACATGGCATCTGGAGTTTGAGACAGCACATTAGCATTCCAAGTAGGAAGAGGGAAGAGGGGGAAGAGGGCAATGGCAAAAGAAAAACAGTTGTCAGATGAGTTTTCTAAATAAAAAAATTTATTTGAAAAGCAGAGTGACTCAAGAGGGAGGGGGAGATAGATAGACAGATAGATATCTCCCCAAATAGCCACAATAGTCAGGGGTCTGGGCTGGGCAGAAATCAGGATCCAGAACCTCATCCTTGTCTTTCACCTTTAACATAGGTGGCAAAGGGCCCAAATACTTGGGTCATCCTCCACTGCTTTCCCAGGATCACTAGCAGGAAACTGGATTGGAAGCAGTGCAGCCAGGACTGGAATCGGCACTCCAATACGGCACTGTGTGCCACAGCACTGGCCCGAGTTTGCCCCCTGATGACTCACCAGTGACTTTCATCTCATTGACCAGAGCTGCAGGATGTGACCACCTCCAGGGAGACTGGAAGATGTTTTATAGCTGGGCATTTTGTTGCCCTGTTCAATCTACTGTATCAGTCTCTTCCAGAAACACTCTCCTAGATACACTCATAAATTTTATCAGCTCTCTGGGTATCCCTTAACCTAACCAAGTTGACACCTAAACTTAGTCACCTGAGAGAAGGTGATCCATTGACTGGAATAAAGGCCCTTCCTTCCCATTATTATTAATTATGATAAAGATGAAAGTGCTTCCTGTGGTTTCTAAGATCCTTGATGATCTGATCCTTGCTCAGTTTTCACCCCAGCTCCGTTCCTCCCTCCACTGCCATGTCACTGGGCTCTTTTCAGTCCCTGGACTCCTGGGCCACTTCCACCACTCCCAGTAGGAAGCTCTTCATCTCACCCAAATGCCTGCCTGTTCATATCTGAGCCATCCTTCAAGAGACAACTGATTCCTAAGCACCTCTAAAATGCCTTCTCATACTTCAACCTCACCCACCTGCCCAAGTCAGAACCAACTGCTCTTTCTTTGTGTTCTCCAAATATCTTGTAGCTCTATTCATGCCCTTGTATGCTCTGCTTACTTGTGAGCTTTTCCAGGACAGAGATATGTCTAATTCCTCTGTTCTCAGGGAGGCAAGTATACACAAGTACAAATACAGTGTGTGAAGTGTGATGGGATACAGGAAAGCAAGGTGATGCGGAGTTGTCGAGGAAGCCTCAACCCAGCCTGTGGTCTGGGGAGGTTCCCCAGTAGATCCTGAGCCAAACAGGTGGATGGTGCAGGTGTATTCGTGCACTTTGAGTGACATGGACATGGGGAGTGGAGGAGAACCCTAATGCTTATCAGGAGTTTATCACTTGGAGTGGGACAGATGCTGGGCAGTTTATCATTTGGAGTGGGACGGATGTTGGGCAACTCAATGACCTTTTTCTACCAAGGATTCAGTGAGAAGGCAGAAGTAACTTCCAAGGGCCTTTCATAGCTAATTAAGCAGATAATGACAAGACTTATCGTGTGACAAGCAGGGGAGGATAAGTTGCCCTTTACAAATGATCTAATTGGATCCATTTCCCATTGACTCTTGTCCCTACAGCCAAGAGAAGGAAATTAGCCTTTGCCGGGTATTTGTGAATGAGGAGGCCCCTCACTTCCCTGTCCCAAAGCCCCCGTGGTACCCTGCTTTTCTAAAGCAGTCCCCTGCCTCAGCCTGAAGATCCAACCCTTTCCCTCTTACGCGCCTGCTCTCCTCTCACACTGCTGCCTACCCAGTTCCTTGGCACTGGCAAGGTGACTTCACCCTGAGGCAGAGTCCCTGTGACTCTTCTGTGAAGCTCCTGGCTGTCTGAATCTCAGGGATGGGTGAGTGGAATGGCCCAGGCACTAGAGGAAGGAGCAATAGGATCTTGGGCTGCTGAGGGGCTATCAGAGCCCTTGCTGGGATGTGTCGCTGGAGTTACTGTATTTCAAGAGCAGCTTAAGTTCCATGAGACTGAGATTCCCAAAACCTTATTCCTATATGTATCCCTACTCCTGCTTCCCTCTCTCATTTGAAGGGACTATTTAATTCCTGCTACTCTCGGTTGAGTGCCAGGACTTGACATACTTTACTTTTTAATCCCCTCTTCTAGAATCAGGAATCTCAGACATTAAATGACTTCTGCAGTGATCCAAACCCAGAACTTTCTTTCACCTGACCTTGTCCTCTTTCCAACCAGACCACCACTCCCCTTCCTTCCTGGGTCTCAGAATATTGCTCCTATTCCCCACAGACCTCCAGTTTCCATAAATTCTCCCTCCAGCACAGAGACTACCTGGCATGACTAGATCATTGTTCCATATGTCTTGTCTTTGTATCAAAGCTCTAAGTTTCCATTCCTATTTTTCCTTTTGGTTTCCTAATATACTCTACAGTGTTATGTACCAAATAGGTCATAGTCACACCTCTAGGTCAGTACCTGGCTTATGGCAGGTATTCAGAGTAAGGATTCAAACGTAGACGAGGCTTAGGTTGGTTCTCTCAATCACCCACCTTGCTGTATCTCACATCCAGGTGGTGTCACATGGAAAGCCATTATTAATGGAAAGACATTGACTTGCAACCAGATGACATCTGTGTATCCAATTCTGTTACATGCTATGCAATCTTCTATAAGGTATTTAACTTCTCTGAGTTTGTTTTTGTTATATTTAAAATGGGGATTAAGCTATGTATCAGGATTGTTTCAAAGGATCAGATAGGGAAAGCAGTATCATCTAAGTGCTATTGTTTCACACTCTTTCTTTCTTTTTTCTTTTCTTTTTTTTCTTTTTTTTGACAGGCAGATTTAGACAGTGAGAGAGACAGAGAGAGACAGAGAGAAAGGTCTTCCTTTTTCCATTGGTTCACCCCTCAAATGGCCGCTATGGCCAGTGCGCTGTGCTGATCTGAAGCCAGGAGCCAGGTGCTTCCTCCTGGTCTCCCATGCGGGTGCAGGACCCAAGCACTTGTGCCATCCTCCGCTGTACTCCCTGGCCACGGTAGAGAGCTGGCCTGGAAGAGGGGCAACCGGGAAGAATCCGGCGCCCAGACCGGGACTAGAACCCAGTGTGCTGGCACCACAAGGCGGAGGATTAGCCTAGTGAGCCACAGCGCCGGCCCACACACTTTCTTGACTGCTTAAGGAGACCCATGGGGCCAGCTCCAAAGGCAGTAAATTGCCTTGTTAACATTTTTAGCCTGTTGTCCTATCCTCAAATCCTTTCTATCTCAATGACTTCTGGTGGCTAAAATAGACCTGTGAGCAAATTAATTTCATTTTTCAATAAAGATTTATTTATTTACTTAAAAGTCAGAGCTACTGAGAGGTAGAGAAAGAGAGGAAAGAGGAGAGAAATCTTCCATCCACTGGATCACTTCCCCAGATGGCTGTAGTGGCCAGGGTTGAGCCAGGTCAAAGCCAGGAGCCAGGAGCTTCATCCAAATCTCTCACTTGGGTACTGGGACCCAAGCACGTGGCCATCTTCTGTTGTTTTCCCAGGTGCACTAGCAGAGAGCTAGATAGTTAAGTAGAGCAACCAGGACATGAACTGGTGCCCATATGAGATGTTGGTGTCCTAGGTGGTGGCTTTACCTGCTACGACATAATGCCAATCCAACTAATTTTAAACACTGCAGAGCAATAGTACTTAAAAAACTATCACCTTTAGTTTTTGTCAATTTGCTTATAAAACTATGTTGTTTGGTTTGTTTTTCTATTCAAGATTTGAGGAGGGGGTTAGCCCGAGGGATAGTGGGTTGATGTAATTTTCCCTGGATTCATCTCTACTCTCAATTGAAGTGAGGACCACTTGGTGACTGTTTTGGCTCTGATCATGACAGAATTGGCTCGGAGCTACGGTGATATAACTGAGGGCCTTGGGGGTCAGAGAATCTGGATTTGAATTCTGGCTTCACTTCCTACTCACTTGCACAAAATACCTATTCACTCTGTGTCTCTTTTTGTTCAATATAAAAGGAGGATGATACCACTACTCGGGCTGTGTGAACGTGTAGTGCTTGGCATAGGAAAGACTTGCTATAGCCTCATGTTTTTTTTTTTTTTTTTTTTTTTTTTTCTGGAAACAACTCCTTCAACCTCAAGGATTTTATTGGAAACTTTGAAGTAATGACATGGCACACTGGAGTGTCCTGTGAGTCCACTCTGCAATTGAACCACTAGTAGATTAAGCTGAACTTGCGTAGGAAAGCCTTCTAGCAATTAACCTGGGGTTGGGTGACTTTAAGCATTTTCATTCTGCTACAGAAACAAAAAAAGATGTGACTGGAGAAATGCTATTCCTTTAATTGAAGGAACACTTTTATGTTCTCAGGTCTATTTTAATCTTAAGTGCTGATTATGCATCATTCTCCCCTGTTAACAGACACTTCTGTAAGTGATCTGCACAGAGAAATATGATTCTTACATAAATACTGTACCACGAGAAATTATCTCATTATCTAATACGCCAAAAATCTAATAAGATAAAGGAACGGTATGAGTCATTTTTGGACAATATTAAAACTTGCTTTTAGCTCATGGAAATAAAATATAATTTCCTTTTATTATTCTCTTCACGAAGAACAAAGAAATGTAGGATGTAAGGGTATTATACACCTGTGTTCTATGAACTCTCATGAAGGCTGATGAAGGGATCGGGCAGGATAGTCTCAAATTAAGATTTTAATTATTCTTCTATTGAGAAAACATACTCTTGCTGCTCATGCTGTTTCATCAGGTATGATTTTTAAGTTCACACAGGTGAAAGTAAAAAACACTTTTTTCTTAGATGTACCAATATTTGCCCCTGTGTGTTTTCAAGCGGTTGTCCATTCAGGAACAAATGAACAGTGCCTACAGGGTAAGGGCAAAACAGTTTCAAGGACTAGGGGTTTCCTGAGTTATCTATGGTAAAAGGCGACTGCATGCTGAATTTTGACAAAGTTATGTTATTCACACCTGAATATTGACTGAATATGGGTCCCAAAAAACTCTGTGAGTTTCAAACACGCTTTTAAATGTTCTTCTGGAGTGGGGGTTGGGGGTTAAATGCTTCACTTACAAATTAACAAATAATGATTTATCCTGATGAAAGAAATTTAAACAACCCAAGTTAGTAAAAATTTCATTTTTATCACTTAATCAATATTTGAGCTTCAGTAACAGAAGTACTCTTGTTGCTGGTGGTGCTGATGTGGGATGGTTATAGACACAACCACTTTTTTTTTTTTTTTTGTATTCTTCCCTTCCTATCACTTTGACAGAAATAACACTAAGTAAATGCTGTCAGCCTCCTATGACATGTAATTTTTCATCCAAGCAAAATATAATGTCGGTAGGACCTGAAATAAATTTAATAATCTTTGCGTTCTTTTGATTTGTTGGACCATCCCCGCAAACACCTACAGAAACTATGTATGTTTGCCTGGAGATTTAAGGTAACAGGCTTATTCCCAACAAGATGAATCTTTTTATTAGATGTTAGAAGATACATTGTGCCAGTGCTGTGAGTGTTGCCTACAAAATGTATGTAGAATGTCCTTCTTTGAATTTTTTTTGAGATCAATTTAAAGATGTACATCTATTTGTGAAAGTTTCAAGACTGATCTTGTTCAAGGCTGTGGAATGAACTATATGAATTGGTAAGGTTCCACCAACTGCTAACACTTTGAATAATGTATCCATCCCCTTATAGCACACTAAAATGATACCTTTAAAAGGAGCAGGGGTGATGACTGGTAACTATCATAGATTTGGCAGCAACATTTTTAGATTCTATAAGCATGACTGTGAAACTGTATTATTCCTGGGGGGTGACAATTTGGATACCCATTTTTCTTCAGAAATAGAGCATAGGGCTTTTCTTTGAAACTAAAATAAGATCCCTTAAGTTCAACTATGTGAGGACCAGGCTTAGATATTTAATATTTAATGTGGTTAATTAAATCCCATTCTTTGCTCTGAATTTAATTATCTTAACCAATGGTGTTACTTAATATAATAAAAAAAAAAGGGGTTAATGAGAAATGGAAAAGAATCTGACCATTTGCCCATCTGGCTCAGCGGAGGCATTTCTTTTTGATGTGTCAGTTTATGGATGGTGATGTTTTATAGGGCATGTATGAATTTTCAATTAGTGAGAAAATGAAAGACAGGCAATAGATCATCAATGAATGATCCTATCAGGACATCACTTAGAAGTTCATCTGTAAAGTTCAGGGCATATTTTAATGTGACTTTGTGATAATGTAGGCTGTTTTCTGTAGGTTGTGTTTAAATCACGCTTTTTATATACTGTATGAACATGTCCTTGGTTAAAGGGTTTTTATTCAAAGCTAAGAAAGTCAAGTTGTGAACACAAATAAGTGCTAAAATAAAAAGGTGACCTTTCTTGTTTAGCAGTCACTTTCAATACAAATGGTCTGCTTCCTTAATATTGCCCAAGTTCTGCCCATCTCAATGCTGCAGCTTTGGGCAATAGAATCAGATTCAGAATCAAAACCCAGCTAGAAGTTGCTGGCTGTTTCAAGTCACTCAGTCTTGTCATCTGTGAAATGAAGATAATGCTTTGCACGCCTTCCTCCTGGATTGCTGAGAGGGTCAAGTGAGAGAATGTAGAGGACACTGCACAGCCTGCCTGATGCAGAAGAGATATTCTGCAAATGGTGAATGCTTGTCCCCTGAACAAGCTGTGGGTGAGCTCATGAATAACTGACACTAATGTGTCAGCATGTGAAATGCAATGCCAAGTGTTCTGGCTTGCCAACCAGGGCAGTACTCCTCAAACCTTAAACTACCAGTGATTCTTCACCTGGGGATCTGGTTAAATGCAGCCCTAGATTCTGCATTTCTAACATGCTCCCAGATGATGCTGATACTACTGTGGGGACCACACTTTTAGTAGCATGGATTGGGACGAAGGCTTCTAAAAACTGAGTTCATTTTGAGAGACTGGGCTAAGATGCAAAACAGAATTTTCCTACACCTTTGCTTTTCTGGTTTAGTGATAAAAATATGGGGGAAATCTGAAGATGTTATAGAAAAAAGTATGAATGAACACATTTAAAAATTTGGGAAGCTCACATTCATTCTACACACTTTCATTTATTGTCTGGACAGATAAAGTACAAATAATTCAAACACAACAAGATTATGAAAAAAAACATTCACAATACTTTCCCTCAGAAATCATCTAAACTAGCAAGATTAACATGAAGTCATTCATTGTAACTAAAGTATACAACTGCCTGGTCCTAATATTTTTTTTTTCCTTTTTTTTCCCCCCAAGATTGAACACATTATAGAGAAGAGATTTTGGCATGCCTTTCCCACTAATGCTTAGCAAATGCATCAAAATTTTGCTAGCAAACTGCGTTCATTCATAGCAGGTGATGTAAAAAGGTTTCCCTGAATGTTGAACGAGTGTTCTCTGAACTGAAATCTGGTGTTTTTTTTTCCAAAACCAAAAAGAGGAAAAAAAAAATAGAAAAAAAATTTAAAGGAGGAATCTATGATGCAGCCTTGGTTTTCATTATCTGTCTACCACGACGACGACTACTACAATGCTTGCCTCTTCAGTGTGAAAACAACAGTCCTGTCTACATGCACTTAGTGGGTTCAGCATGGGAAAAAATGCACAAAATAAGCACAAGTTATAAATAACCATAACGTTTTATTACCATTAAGACTAAACTTGTATTGAAAAGATTTTATATAACAAGACAAGAAAAGCAATAGCAAATTTAACTATCAACTAGATTATGCATAGCGAGTAACTGTTTCTATTACCCAGGGAAGAGCATGAACTCTTTTATTTTTTTTGTTTTGTTTTTTTGTCTTAAATATATAACCGTACAAAGCACAAACATACTAAAATGATCAGTGCACTGGACGTGGGAGAGTGCTCCCTCAGTCATTTTGTTCCCTTAGCTCTGTTTTGTTTTCCCCAATCTGAATTACATTAAAATAAAGACCCAGTTGTTTTTATTTTTCTACTGTGCAGTAAGAAAAAAAATTCACAACAAACATGACAATATATCAAACAATAGTTCTACACAAGTTACCTTGATACCTCTTTAACTGTCACTTAAATATCATAAGAAAACATTTTAAGACATATACAAACAAAACTAGCCAAGTGTTACAACTTATAATAAATTAACCCAAAGAAAAAATAACTTTATATATATATATTTATATTGTATATACACATACACACACAACAGAATGACACAATAATATGCTTCTTCCCATAGTTTAAGTAAACAAATAAGTAGTCTAGCCAATCTAGCTATATTTGATCTCGGCCATAGGCATCATCACATCGGCGATTAAATAAATAAGTGTTTCAAGCAACATAAACAGTGTTTCAAATGTACCAACACAGCCCAATTCTATCAGCATGGGCTACAAAGTGAATTTGAAAATTCCTTAATGGATTTAAAGCAAATGTATCTTTTGTTTTCCTCTCCTAAACACATTACATTTAACTATGATACTAAGATATGTAAATAATTTCGTAGCACCTACTGCTCAAACTAAGGAAGTTTTAGATCAAAAGGAAAATTAATCTTTTTAATTTTTGTTCTGTTGACATCCCATACTGATGACTTAAAGAAAAACTGTCTTTCAACTCATCTCCTTGCTTTTGGGTTTTGACTGTGGGGAACTGTGGTACCCTGGGTAGAATGAACACTCCTTTCCCCTAGTAATTAATAATTGTTTCTTTTAATTATTATTACATGCTATGAAAAGATATGAAGATCATCTGTTTATAGCCCATCCTTCAAAAAACAGTCTACGAATCCAGTTTAAAACACACATCTTGATCTCTAAAAAGTTACCAGTGCAGTATGAACGTGACAAAGTTGTCAATTTCCCCTAAATTAGCCAGTCAAAATATTTTTTTCTCAAATCCAGATTCTCTTGTAAAAATTCTTTATATTTTATAAAAATAGATTTTTCTTGAAACCCATTTTCAGCAAAGAGACCACCTCTTTGGCAACAATGTTAATGTTATTAAATTGTTAATGTCATCAGGTATCCCCCTTGCCCCTATCCCCTAACAGAAGACTGTTTTAGTTCACATGATATAAAAGAAAAAAGGAAAAATAAAAAAATTTGCAAAAGTTTTTTTTCATTTTTGCATTTTTTATTATTCCTCTTTAATTTGTGTGGGGGTTTTTACCAATCTGATTGGATTGACATTTGGACAAAAAAGAAAAATCATTTTTTTTCTTTCTTTGAATCCCATTGCTTTGTAAAAATTGTTTTTATTTATTTATTTTTTTTGTTTTTTGTTTTTCTTCTTCAAATGAGCGAATGGTCATCTTAAAAAGACCCACCTTCAAGGAAGGTAGTAAAGTTAGCTGGCTGGGTAAAAATCCCTGCCCATCGCTATCTATGTATATTATATTCAACAACGACAGCTATGAAAGAACATTCAATGCATCAAAGGTTTTTTTTTTTTTCTTTTTTTCTAAGCATTATAAAATCCTTTCCTGGTACATCTCAGGATAATCCAATGTTTTAATACTTAGGCAACACTGGCTTATAAAGTCCATGGTTGAATATAAGCCTTGAAAAGTTTGTTTCTCTCTCTTTTGTGTATGTGTGTGTGCGCGCATGTGTTTTGTTCGTATATATTTCTATATATATGTGTTAATAAGTAAGGATGGGAAATTCAGGATTTGTGAGCTTTGTTGGTTTTAAAGGAAACTTGCAACACTCTGTCTCCCAGGCGA